GTGGCAGACATTTGCCCCATTTGTTGATTTTATTTTTAACTTTGAAAGGTTCCGGAAGTCTCCCCCCAACACACAGACACACACACCTTTTAAAATTTCATGATGTGGATCTTCACTGACGGATTATTGTCTAGTCACTTCTCTTCAAAAATGAAAACCATATATCATTTCTTACATGTATGTCAAGCATTTGCAATCAATTTTGGGTTCAAATATTAAAAAAAAAAAGTAAAAATAATGACATCTTTATAATCTTTTGACTTAAAACTAGAGCAAATTGGCTTGATATAAATACTTCCTTATAATTATTATGTTTATTAATATAGATGAAAACTAAATGTCATCCAATAATTACACCATATAGATTTATAATTCAATGCAATGCAATGAAACTTAATTCAAACCTACTTGAAAGATCAAAATCAGTTTTATATTTTCCTAAAGGCTCATTCTATTTATACAGCACTATTTTAACAAACACTGATTTCAGACATTAATCAAATGTAAATTATGGACTAAATTCCTTTTACACACAGTTATACACCATTTATAATCTCAGCAGTGTCCCACATTCACATTTGCAATCTTATATTCAATGAATGAGCGTTTCTTGTTTAATGCAATAATTTGTTTTAAAATGAACACATAACAAATACATTTCTTACACAATAATAAAGCAAAGTAGATGTTAACTGTTTATACAAAAAGAAAACATATACACATCAAGAAAATCTATATAAATAAAGAAAATTTGATTCATTGAAACTTCAGGAAAAACTCATTTACCTGGGTAATTAACAAAAATTGGCATTTGAAATAGAAGATAAGGTAACCTGCACCACTAATCAAAGGTAATCAGGGCAAATTTTAAGATCTTCAGATCCCCATGACTTAATGAGGAGCAGAAATAATTGACACCACATAAAGATAACAATTAGCTATTGTAGCCGTAATTATTCATACATCATATACATAATATAGACAGAATTTAGACTCAATATCTGACATAATTTATGATCTATGACTTAAGCATATTCTGTAAGAATAACAATTTATAATTTTAAGAAAAGGAACAGCTGGCCAGTTGTTTATAGATATCAAATTATTACAGTACTTGTTCTAGTCAATACCCCTTGAAATATTTCATACAATAATAGTATTTCTTCAAACTTTTTGACTACAACACTATAAATACACATTCTACCAGTACAGAGACAGGCCAGGTGCAACAAATATACCAGGGCCAGGTCAGTTGCCATAGGTACAAAGTCAGGCAAGTTGCCACCAGTACAGTAAAGTCAGTTACCACCAATACAGACAAAGCCCAGTCAGTAAATGCCACCAGTACTGACAGCCAGGTCAGGCTACTAGCAAGAGCCAGGCTATGGGCAACAAGTACAGAGCAAGGTTATGTGCCACAAGTACAGAGTCAGGTCATGTGCCACAAGTACAGAGCCAGGTCATGTGTGACAAGTACAGAGCCAGGTCATGTGCTACAAGAATAGGTAAGATGCAACAAAGTCAGTCAAGTAGCAACCAGTACAAAGCCCAGGTCAGATGCAACCAGTACAAAGTCAGTCACGTAGCAACCAGTACAAAGCACAGATCAGATGCAACCAGTACAAAGTCAGTCAAGTAGCAACCAGTACAAAGCGCAGATCAGATGCAACCAGATACAGAGCCCAGGTCAGATGCAACCAGTACAAAGTCAGTCACGTAGCAACCAGTACAAAGCACAGATCAGATGCAACCAGTACAGAGCCAGTCATGTAGCAACCAAAACAAGACCACAGATCAGATGCAAACAAGTACAAGAGTCAGTCAATGTAGCAACAGTACAAATCACAGATCAGATGCAACCAGTACAAAGTCAGTCAAGTAGCAACAAGTACAGAGCCCAGGTCAGATGCAACCAGTACAGAAGTCAGTCAAGTAGCACCAGTACAAAGCCCAGGTCAGATGCAAAGTACAAAGTCAGTCAAGTGTGCCAACCAGTACAGAGCCCAGGTCAGATGCAACCAGTACATGAAGTCAGTCAAGTAGCAACCAGAGCAAAGCCCAGGTCAGATGCAACCAGTACAAAGTCAGTCAAGTAGCAACCAGTACAGAGCACATCTGTGTAGTCTGACCAAACCTCACAATTACAGCTGTTCAACTTAAAATTTTTGACTTAATTCAAGCAGAACATTTAGTTCCACAAACTTAGCATAACTGAACTGCTTGTTTGGTTTTTTATCCACTGGATTTTAATAGGTTACTTAAAAAAACATGAATGAATATATTTTTAACACTGCCATTGATTTTTTTCAATTTTATGAACCAGCGAATTTCAAATGTTCAAAGTTTGTTACAATAGTGGGTTTCAAATGTTTCACCCCCAATTAAACACATAAACAAAATTACTGGTTGCACGACATTGTACCTTATCCCAAATGTTAAGGTGTTTACACCTCAAAACATAGATTCTTATCTAATGTCAAATTATTTTGCCATAAAACTGGCTTTCCTTTCACAAGGTAATGACAAATATTTGAAACTTCTGAAAAGAGTCAAAACTCAACATGCTATTTAAGCTATCTATATGTGGTCAAGCAGAAAACAAGCAAACTTGGACACTGATAAATTACAGGCTAACATCATTGGGGCCCCTTTAATGAAAGTTGTGACAGGTCACTGAGCAGTTAAACACAATATAATGTTGTGATAATAAATCATTATAATAGAAAGAGATTGCTTTCATAAATCAAATCTTTGCAGCCTGAATTAACTGCAAAGTTTTAAACAAACAGAATGATATTTCACTTATAAAGTTCTGAAAATTGCAAACCAACTGCAAAGTTTTAATTGAACAGAATGATATTTCACTTAAAAAGTTCTGAAAATTTTGCACAAATGTACATAGCATTGGTCAAATGTTTCCAAAAATACAGGATTTTTTAATAGAAACGACTGTATCAAGTTTCTTACCGCTGCAAGAATTTTTACTTACTTACAAGTAGACAAGAAAATTGTGCAATGTATGTGAAAATTATGTTTAAAGTTCACAGTTCATATTAAAATAACACTGTATGGCAATGTCAATATCAACCTTAAAATGAGAGAAAACAGCTCTTTTATGACAAGAAGGAATAAAAGATTACCATATATAGGTATTCATATAACATTAAACTGTGAATTTGTTTCATTTTAATAACAGTTACAGCTGACAAAATAAATCATACTTCATAAAGTAATTGAAAAATAACTATCTTTACCAATCATCTGAATTACCTAGGCACATTCTTTCAAAATCAAACCCACTTTTACTTCTTTTAAATTGTTTCACTTTTTTTCAAATTACATTTTTTGATTGGTTTTGAGTAGATTTGCGATAAAAAAATGTTCAGTTATTAATTTAAAGTGGGAGTCACTATAATCATTTCTGTTGAATAAGATACCATGGTAACCCATACAATGCTTACCTGTAAAATACTAATTAACTATTAATGATTCTTTTATTGTTCTTTTTTCAATGAAGTCTAATAGTTAAAAATTATTTTGCCCTTTTTCAAATTTTCCGGGATATTTATAATTAATGTCAATAATTTAGGAACAGGAATTTTCATATGCATGATTGCTAGCTCATTAATATAATTTTATGACTGGCCGGACTGGTCAAAATAATTACAGAATGTAGAGGAACATTAATCAGAAAATTACCAATTATCATAAATGTGGCAATGCTTTCTTATAATACATCCTCCAAATCTAGCCAGAGTTAAACTATTACTATAGTAACAATAATCATCCAAACTAACAGTTACTTAAATATTGACAAAGCAATGGCATGCCACTAGTTATGCCATATTTGGAGGCCACAATTATTAAACTGACTTAACTCAGCTCTAGCATTTAAAATCAATATCTAAATTAAACAAACTTTAGACAATATTTCAATTTCAAATAAGGGCAGGTCAATAACATTTAATTTATTAGGGTGAAGGAATACTGCAGTCTGAGTTCTACAAAACATAGAGAGGATATCAAAACAATATTACTCTATATAAACACTTTTAATCCCAGTATAAAAATTCTTATTTGAAAGAGTACACAAACAACAACAGAAACACCCAAACCCTCCCAATTTGAAAGTAAAATTTAATTGGTATTTAAAGATGAAAGTAGGTCTCTCAAAACAGCTCTAAATGTCAAAATGTGACAGGTGGACTTATTTTATGTGAAAGTAATTATTCAATTTCAGGTTAAAGAATACCATTCATCAAGTAGTACAGGCTATAGGGGACTATCTGATCAAGCTCATGATTAATGTTCTTATTACTTTCATTGTAACTCAAATATTTTACCTATCTTTATCAATCATGTAACACTGATTCAATTAAGGATATTGTTACTTTTAACAGGTACTTTTTTATCACGAAAATAATTATCCACCTTTTGATTGAAATTTAAGGCGACCATATGACCCTGTTAGAATACAGTTGACTTAGATAAATGGAGTAACCACAGGGGTATTATTATAAATTGGTAAATTGTAGAGACCTCTTTTTCTACTTTTTTGCTATTAGTTGTAGTTATAAATAAAAACAGAAACCAAAATAAAATGTGTTATATTACAACCATTAGCTTCAAGTTACTGTCAGTCTTAAAACTGGTGAAAATTTATTTGTAAAGAAAAATAAACTCTTGATATCAATTCACCTTTTTAATAACAGTGAATCTAACTTTTTATTTAGAATGACAATTGCCTCCCTGTTTAATGGCTCATAGGAAAGACTGGACATACCTAACAGTGTTGCCTTTTTAATCAAAGTCTTTATTATTGTTATTATATTGTATATTGAATTAAGAATAATCATGTAAATGCATTACTGTATCATTAGCCTCAATAATGTCAACAAAAAGAAGTGTCATGAAACTATAACATATAGATCTAGCTATGTTGTTAAAGGTATGTATATATTTTTAGTTATATTCAACAGGTAATGTGAAACAATATTTACCAATCCAAGATCCAGTGTAAGAGTGACATAATTATATTCCCAACCATTGCTGATGGACGGACTCTGCCACCATCGATTACTTCCATCGATAGCATTAGAGACCGGATGTGCCGTACCAGTCTCGTCTAACCGGCCAACACCAGCTCGTGCATTACAGTAATCACAATGGCTGGTATGTGGCATAAGATCCACGTGCTCAACAAGTTTGCAGAAATATTCAGGTTGATTCTCCCCGCATGTGGCGTTGGCTGAGATACGAGCTCTTGTAGCAAGATTAAGGATGTATGGAAATAAGCCCTGGTTCTGTTCAGCTGTAATTTACCATACAAACAATTATTAGATCAAACAGTTACATTAAATATCATTAAAGTACAATTTAATATATCTGTTCAGCAACAAATAATTTGACAAAGACAAAAGTACTTGCCTAAATTAAGCAATTACATGAAGCACTACTGCATTATTGTATTTAACAATTTAATGTAAGCAAATGTTTAATATAAAAGATACATTTAAAAGCAACAAAAGACAAACATATAATCTACATGACAATCTCAACAATAAGCTGTTATGTTATGGTGAATAAACAAGTACATAAATGTTAGAAAATATGCATTTTTAGGGCATCCAATTTCATAAAATTAATGGTTAGCAATTTTACAGTTATCAGATTGCCAGTTAATTAATATTCTCTGTCAGCCCTAACTTCTGTGGTCAAAAATCAGTGTCAAATTTTCAAGTATTTTGTGGTTAATGTATGCGGTCAGACACCTTAGGTTATGGTTCTATACACCTGATGTATCAAACAGCCGTGTGACTTTAGACCTCTTGATATGAAAGGCTCCCTGTTTGTTTGTAAATGACCCATCTCTAAACAATAACAGACAATACTGTCAATTGTAACAACAATAACAGACCATGCCCCATCCACAATGTTTTCTTTGCCGTAACATAATATTGTCATAAGGTTAAGACAGGCTTGTGCTTTAGTGGTAGGCTGACTCAAAAACTATTTGTGTCAATATGATACATAAAGTAAATATTGTGACAATTGAAATAGTAAAACAAAAAATTTTGGACAAAAAAACTTTAAGAAATTATAAATGTAATTGACCATGATTGAAAATTGGTCATAAACCTTATATGTTATCCATAACAAATAAAGTTGTTATTGTCATAATAGATATGATTTTGTTGTTTTTACAAGCAATTATAATGTAAGAAATTTCCTATTTATGATACTCATTGTGATTTAATCATTTAATGTTTTATCACATGGTATTGCATGTACTAAATGAAATGTGCCGGCTTTCTTGGTCAAAATGGGAAGTAAGCTACCAGCAGGGTAAAAGTAAATAAAAGTCTAATGACAAGTAACTCTTTCATGTTTGATGAAAATTTATGAATGCCCTTATCATGAATCTTAAATTAGTAACAAAAATACTTCCATAAATTAACTGAAGAACAGTTACAATAATAAACCAAATAACATAATAACAGTGGTGCAACAGAACAATAACATAGCAGTGTAAACCAATAATAATTTATAAGCATGCAAGTTTTATTTATTAACTGATATTTGAACAAATTAATGAAAATTAAAATTTTAACAACAATGCCCATTAGCTTACCAACAAATGATTGAAGATTATCTACAGATGACAATATTGTGATATAATGAAGTAAAAGAGGAACATGAAGAAAAAAACAACTTGAAGTAACTTAAAACTTTCAAATATTTTTTGGTATGGAATATTAAATCTCCAAAAGCTTTTTGACAAAAATAAGTTATAAAATATTCATAACTCTTCATGTCAGAATTCTTTCAGGAAACACTTTAAGTTAAATAGCAGATACATAAAATACAAGCTTTTAAGCAGTAATCTTAGAAATAAACTGGAAACTAATACTTCAAAAAGATACTTCAAAGAAGTATAAAACTATTCATTTTTTTATTGCTTATTGTATAAAAATCTTATCATATACAGGAACAACAACTGTCTGATAAGCCATTTGGCTTGCATTCATGTAGGGTCAATATAACTTCCATCTCAACAGGTTCCAATTACTATCTACCTTTATAATTTTTACCTCCACTACATGGGTAATAAAGACTTTGTTACATATAGTATCATCTGATAGCAACCTGGCGATTCCAGGCTTACTGAGCACACTTTACCATTACAGGTTGCCATTAATTCTGATCATTAACAGTCTAGCATGTCAGTTAAAATTATAATTACTTACTTCTGAGTGAAACAATAAAGACTTTAATCATGCAGTAATTATAAAATTTAAGTACAAAGCAACTTGGAAACTGTTAATCAGTTTAAGCTGATGAAAACAATGTTGCAAGTAATTTGCAAATAATTTAGCCTATACTGCCCCAAATTTTTAAAATTTGTTCTGAAGTATCAAAACTTTATGCAACTATGAGTGCAGTCAGTGGTAGCCTGAAACATTCATAACAATTTTTATTTGTTTCAAAATGTTCATAGACTGACTTCCTGGTAAATAAAATAACTTTCCTATCTATTTGCATTAAAGAGATTGTTCTGCTTATTCAGTCATTAGGAATACAAACCCTAATGTAATGTTTTTGACATTTGAATGAACAACACAGACAAAAACCTTACGTTTTTACTTTTTATGTATGATAAAATCCCTCCAATGCTTGCCGAAAAAAGTAATCATTCCTTGAAAATTTTTCATTAATTAAGTTTATTGAAAATATCTTACAATATGTACATAATAACACTTTCAAGTAAAAATGCTCTAAAAATGAAAAAAGATAACTCACAAAATGGTAAACGTTTTTTAATATTGTTACTTTTTTCTTAAAAAAAAGTTTAGATGCCTGAAGCAGCAGTGAAGCTTACCCTGTGTTTTTACTTTAACATTGATGCCACGTATAACTCTCGATCCAGTCTTACACCTATACTTTCCACTGTCGGATTTCCTTATACTTTCTATACGTAGATTATAATATCCATTGGCATGGTCCCCACTTAATGAAATCCTTGACCTTTGGTCTGCTGTAAGGTCAAGGCTAACTGTAAGGCCCCGTGTATAGTGCTGGAATCTTGGTGGGCCATCCCATACTATAGGTAATCTCCTCGAGGGTTTGGGACAGGTTAACGTTACTGATTCTCCTTCATTTATCTCTAACCCTGAAATATAAAAGTAAATCATGATTCATCTTGTTACAAAAAAAGCAATGTATGTGTATTTTGTACACAAAACTTCCTATAAACACAGCAGTTACTGTCATGCCTCCTTCAGTATCTGCTTTGATTTTTACACAGTCCAAATTGTCTGTTTAAGCAATAAGCATCAATGTACTTTTGATACTTTTGTTTGATTATGTTTGATGTCACACAAACACTCTGTCGTCTTTTCAACTATATTTATTAATAAAGACCAGATGTCAGGAGCTCTCTTTGGATAACTACAAGTAAGAATCAACAGCCTTCAAAAGCTTCTACATGTGAAAGAATCCAAAGTTCCTTGAGCAATTGACAAACCCGGGTTGCTAGGGGTATGTGATTAGATGTCAGCAATCTAAACCACTTGACCACAGAGGCCCCTCATACATATATTAATTAGTAACTGAGCAGTCAAGTGTATATTGTCACAGTCCACACTGTAAGTTTTGCTCTGTACTTTATTTTCAGTATAAAAGAATAAACTAATTAATTAATTAATTAAAATTAATTTTTTACTTGCGATCATAAAATTCTATAGCCAAACAAATTATGCGCGAGACTTTTATTATATAGACAATGGTCGTCCTTCTATGTCCGACATCTATGTAATATCAATTTGTAAATTGTATCGGTCTGTCTGCAAATCTCAAAATATCGAGACTAAAAATTCTAATGCCTAGATAGAAATGTTAAGATTTTAAACAAAACAAATAAAATTGATAAATAGAACTGTACAAAATACCCTCTCACATTCATTTCATAGTATACAACATAAAAACATTGAAGTGCATTCAAAAAAGCATTAACAGGTAATTTAAAAGTTAACTTTCATGCACATCTATTGATCTACATGTATAAGGTATGTTTAAATGTTAATGACATGAATTCTCAACAAAGAAACACCTGCTTTAACATCAAAGCCTGTTTGCTTTCCATCTAAAAGTTGAATAAATCAGTGATAAGGTTAATATTACCTTCTCCCCAACCTGATAGTACCATAAATTACCCTACAATTTAAACAATCCAACCATTTTCTTATTAAGTAAGTTAAGAATTTGTGTACATAGGTATACTAAAATATTGAAACCTTTCTGTAATTGATTTTGAAATTTTAAAAATCTGAAAAGTCAGCTAAACTCATTTTGGTATGACTGTAATGATAACCTATTTTTTAATTTAAGCAACTTTTAGGAAATTTTGTTTACCATTTATACAAATATGTCATTCTTCATATAAAAATATTTAAATGAGCTAGTTATATGAATGCAGAAACAAACCATCAAAAAAATAATTTATAAACCTGTCCTGTTGACAAGAATTATGTCATACATTAATTGAACTGTTAAGTTTCATAAATTTGCCTCTACATAGATTTATCATAATATTCGTATTTTTTTTAACGTTTTGCGACATATCTCTTATAGAGAAGATACCAGTAAAGTTAACAATAACAACTTGTTGCAAATGAAGCAATTTACCATAAGATCTCAACAAAACTGAAATTTTTTGGCAATTTATGATTCATCAATGTAAAATCACTATGATGTAAACACATTCAATATAATTTAGATCACCAGAATTAAAATTTGCTTGCCATATGCATTTTGAACATTATAATTATTGACTCGTATCATTAAATATTCATAGCCTATTTCTAAATCATGCTAGTGATGTGTGTAACTACAAATATAGCCTTCAAAGCGTCAGTTTGAAAGCTTAACTATTTTTTAAAACATTTAATTGCAAATTCAACAATTTACTACCTATGGGGGATTTCCATGCAATTTTGTTTTATGAATCATCTTAACTTGCATTTCATGAAAATTTATCTCATTCAAGATTTAGTAAACAGTGGTTTTACTTTCAAACATAAATTGTCCAGAGTTTCTGCAGGATAAACAATGTGTTAGCTTTAGACTTGGATTTTAGAAGATAAATGTGAAAGGTTAATATGTTCATTTGAAGCAATTTCTGAAATAACTTCAATGTCCTAGGATTTTAATTATCTAAATGGTACAGGTATTAACCTAAGACTAAGTAAATACAGCTGGTCTGAGCAATGGGATGACTTGGATGAAGAAGCCGCTTTTATTAAAATGATATGTTGCAAAGCAAAGCAAACTTGAACTTGTTATTTTTTTCTGATTGTATTTCCTGATTTTAACTGCTTTATAAACAGTTTGATTGTCAATATCTAGTAATTGTTGTTTATCTGATTGTTTTGAAGGCGTGTCAACATAATGTAGTATCAATATAAAATAGGCTGTGAGGCATCTTAAGATTTAAATCTGCCTACCCATCTCATTATGCATATAGCAATATGCATTCTATGGTAGGCAGTCCACACTGACCAATCAGCATAATGACTATATATTTATTGACAATTACACAAGTTGACCAAACTTCTCCCTTACTATAAAGTCTCCACATTTCTCTGATTATCAGCCGGAGGGACCCAAAAATCAAGCCTGTAATATAGTGCCACCATGCAAGAACAGTCTGGCAGACAACCTTACCTACCTGCTTCTAGCACAGGAAGCTGTATCTCCACAATACTGATAAATAATCTTATCATTTTGATGATGAAATCTCTTAATTTAAAATTGCTCAAAAATAATAATTTAACCAAACAATAGTATATTATTATAGTTTGATAGAATTGCTGGTTAGCCAGACTTAAGCTGGCTTTATATTGATGGTAAATGAAAGTTCAGTGAGGTCAAAAAACATTAATTCTCAAGAAAAGTACTTGATCCTCACTCACATTAACAATTCATCCTCAGAAATATAGGAAATTCTGATGTTTCATTCTTTTCTTGTAAATCTTACTACTTTACATCAAACAAAGGGAGTTATAAAAATATTTTATTATCATTATCTTCGGTACTAGTCAATCAATGTTTGACCAAGGTTTCAACCTTTCATTATATGTTTGTTGTAGCCTTTCTTAATTAGAACATTTAATTATTATGAATGATGGAGATAGTTATAAACATTATCACGAAAGAAAAACATTATTTGTATCCCCTTTTTATGCAAAATGTGTATAATGGACTTGTCCTGTTTGAAAATTGAAAGTGTTTAATTATTTCTTTCTGGGATTTCAACTTCAAAAAGTAAAACTGAGCATTCAACAGTATATAGAGGATATTTGAATATGCTATAATAAGTGTGGGTATTTTCTCAAATTGTGTGATATAACATATTCACAGAGAAAAAAAAATCTTTTATTTTATGCCTAATAAGTATAATACTGTTTTCATTGTAGCGCAGGAAAAAGACACACATAAAGAAGATGGCGTCAGACTTTCAATGGCAACATGAAAGCTGCTCAAAGAAAATTCAAGTTTGTAGTCTGATTATTGTGAAATAACTAAGTATAAATATTTTTAGAGAAATAATTATATTAATGAATTGAGAAATACTGCATTTAGAACAAGAAGCAACAATTAACTTTTATGTTCATTTAGAAATCATGAAAATTTAAACTTGTATCAAAAATTGTGCAGCAGAGCTATATCACCCACTGTGGGTGATATGGATTGTATCACATGGATCTCACTAGTGAGGATAAAATAAACAGTCACAGCTCACTAAACTGGTTCAAGATAAAACATACAAGTCAATCAACCTCTGAAACTATTCACTGAGCACAATCATGAATAATTTTCAAAAAATAATTATTATTTTACTGTTAAACTATTGTATATTAAATGTACTTTAAAAGCTATGGAAATGTTCCAATGTATTTAAGGTAGAGCTGCCAACGATAGAGACCATATTGATGCATCGTTGATATTTTTCTGTCGACTAATAATCGATACACATTTTGAAAAAATCGATTATTAATTTATTTTGATAAATTATTTAAATGTCTCACAATGGACACATTTCAAAGCAGTGATGACAAAATATGGTCAGAAAAAAAATCATGCAAAGGTGACATTTACACATGGGACACAACATATTTGCATGAACAGAACATTTATTTTACCAAAATCATTTAACCAAAATCATTTAAACACTGGTATGGAAAAGTTATTATATACAAGAAATTAGGAGTATTCATCGATATATTGGTGTATCACCGATAATTGTCACCCTATATCAGTATATTGTCAATATGCTTTGCACTGAATCAATGACAGCTCTAATTTAAGGACTAAATATTTTACAGATTGTCATCAAAATTAATGTACAATTTGCAGTGAGTATTAGACCATGCAGATCAAAGGTTATAAATACCATTATGGCATATTTCAATATGTAAAACATTTATAATAATAGATTTAGGTCAATTTTGAATAAAATTTGTAACATATTTTGTTTTTAATAATATATTTATTATCTTATCAGTTCTTTTTCACAAATCCCTCAACATATATATGCTGAAGAAAAGAGGTTGTTCATTTGAAATATGAAAAGAGCTATTGCTTAAGACTTTTATGTGTAGGGATTGTTCGTTTGTTAGCTAGCATTACTGACTCATGTAACTTGAATAAAATATGTGACAGGAATAATTCCTTGTTGTCCCTCCATAGTAATTTACCATGTAATTTACATTAAGATCATCCCAGCAACTCTTGACTCTCTATATATTAAATCTCAATCTGTTATATAAATAAATCTTAGTCCATTCACAAAATTTCTGCTGATCATGCATAAAAAACTGTTCATGTGATTTGTCACCTAAAAAAAAGTGCGCTTTATGAAAGATAATTTCAACAGTTAGATATAAAGTGCATTAAATCACTGTTATCGTTAATTTAACACCTTCAATGATGCAGCATTGACAAGAGATAATCGCATACTTTAAAATGTTTTGAACTGATTAAAAAAAACTCCCATCTTATCAGTATAAATACAGGTTTTTAATGGCCAAGTTAAATCTTAGTCAGAAAATGATCAGAAATGACAGAAATACACTTTTCAAGTGACACACTTTTTTATAAATTTCTTTTCTT